CCGGCCGCGCGGGGAGCAGGAAGCACCGGGTTCTAGACTTCCGCTCCGATCATCTGGCAATCGGCTTTCCTGAAGAATCTGAAAAATTATATATAATAACATTTTTATCATGGTACACAAATGTATGTAATAACATGTTTCTCATAGTGTCCTTTCAATGAGTGAAAAATAGACACACTGTCCAAATGTCTGACAAAGAAAAGAGGTAAAATAAATTGCAAGACATCCAAAAAAAACAAAAAAAATCCGCCTGTGTCTGTCTCTGTTCTTGGAGAGATGAAAGGCCTCAGCAAAGGCGTATCTAAGTCCAAGCGGTTCTGCTCAGGTTCGGAATTTCCTTCGAAGGTCGGGGGCCCCGGAACCTGGGCCGCGAGCCCTCGCTCGCTGGGCCCCGCCCCGCTTCTCCGCCGGTTCTCGCCGCGCGCGTGGCGCGGGGCTTTGCGCCTCAAACCGCACCGACCGAACTTGCGAACGCGCTCGCAGCCCTGTGCCCCGCTGCCTTTGGAAATAAGTGGGAGGTCCAAGACGGCTAAGCTTTGAGTTTGTTCCTTGGCTTTAACACGTAAGTGTTCCTGGAGTTCTTCATAAATATTGTAAACACTGTTGACTAAAGAAATACTCTCAAAACAGACGGGTGAAACCGGACTGTCCCTGGCTGCCTCTCCGCGGAAGGGAAGTCCTGTCTCTCCACCGGCTTCTCTGGAAGCTGACGGCCTTCCCGCTGGAGGGTTCGAGGAGGGAAGCCCGGCGGAGCTCTCCGAACACTGTTCTTGTCGTACGTGTGTGTCCTGCTGAATACAATCGCATCAGTGAACGACCCTAGCACTTCTGGAAAACACGCTTTTATTCATAGTGCAATAGTCTTTTATCCTCACAGATTCAATGTTATACTCAATTACATTACTGAGATCGGTCTATTTTATGGTTTTTGTATTGTCCTTTTCTACAATATAAAGTTTAAAAGTAAATTAGATGCTATTGAATTTTCTGGTATCAATAGTTATACTTATATATTAAGATAACGATATATCAGTTTTTTTTTTGTTTTGGGTAACAAAACCTTTGATAATCACTTTTTTCTCAATTTCTTCAAATATCATTCATAGCTTTTTATCTGCTGCTTAAGTCAATTTTCTTAACTTATATATTTTTTGTTATCTACAAATTAACTAGCTCAGAAGGATGCTGTCTTTTTCTCATTAAAATTTTTATAATCTTTTTATAAAGAGTTGTTTTCCCTTTGCATAGTGTCTCATTTGATTATGCTTACTTTTGTATTTAAATATTCATGTAGTATTGGGTTAAATTATTACTTATTATTTTTTTAATTTATCAGGTCCTTATTTTTTATGTTTATTTTCTTCTACCTTTTTTAGTTCACTCAGGATGTACAGAATATTGGATAAGAACTAGACTGAAAAGTCAGAGAAACCAGAGTTCAAATTATAGCATAATAAGCTGTGACCTTTGACATTTAGAAAGGAAGAGAGAGAAAGCTTTCTAACCTTTCTCTTCTTTACACTCTGTAATGCTACCTTCTGAAAGAGCAGTAGGGAGAATTAATTGAGATAGGCAAAAAAAAAAAAAGCACTTTGATAACTGCCTTGCACATTAAGTTCTAAATATTAGTTATGAATAATCTTAATATAATCAGTGCATTTGCCTTAATCAGTCTATTTTTGGGGGGTGAGGTTCATGGATGTGCAAGAATAAATACTAAAGTATTGAAATTCCTTGGAGTGTGTCTTTGGCTGCATTTTATTGAATATAGTATGTGAGTTTTCCTTATTTTTAGCAGTCTTTAATAGTAATGTTAACTTTTCTGTGAATTGTTGTTTTAATGATTTGATAATAAATTTCTTAATTATGTAGTTGTTTGTTGTTGTTTTAATTTCTTTATTTTCTTTTTTACCTGAAAATTTGAGTTCTGTGTTTCTGGATATTTTTTAATGAAGATTTCTTTGTTGACTTGTAAATGTTACTTTCATAAATATTTAATGAAAATTTGAAAAATAATATATATATTTTCTACAAGGTGCATTGCTCAATTTAAAACATTCTGATTATATAATTCACATCCTACCAGTTACTTTTCTAAACTATTTTGGTCATGAGTACTTTCATTATATTCATTTTGTTTTCTTCAGATACTTTAATACATTCATGAACAGCATTTCTGGGCCAAGTCGCTCCGTGAACAGAACTCGTGAACAAGGCTGGTAGGCAGTGAGGCAGCGAGCAGAGCGGGGACCACAGGCCGGCCCAGAAGGCCACCAGGGCGGACGCCGCGCCCCCTAGCGATGGGCGACGCCGAGGAAACCACGATCCGCCTCAGGGTGACCTTCCTCGCCCAGCGCACGGTTGGCCGTGCCTTTTAGGCCCCCTGACCGTGCATATTGCTGGTCGTGCAGTGCAGGCCCCCCCCCCCCCCGCTTGTCGGTGGCCATGTGGTAGGTCCCTTAGAGGAGGGGCAAGGAGCCAAGGAGGGACCTCGGGTGCCTCCCAGGAGGGCCCTGGCGTGACCGCTCCCTGAGGCGTGGGCCCCTAGGGGCAGCGTCTCCGCCTGAACGTGATTCAGCCCCGGCTGAGGAAGCAGCCCGGCCGTCTTCTTTGTCTTCTTTGCACGTGCTTCCTGAGCCCACTGCTCGTGCGGCTCACTTCTTCCACCTCCGCGACTTCTAAACCCACTTTCCCTTATTGGCTGAGTCAGAGCTCTGAATTCTTTCCCAGCCGAACTCGAGGGCTGCGGCCGCGGACCCCAGGTCCGCTCGGACCCCGCCAGTCTGACGCCTGGTGTCATTTTCACTTCACTCATTCACTCAAGAAATTAGGCCTGTTACGAGTTAGTCATTATGCTTGACATTAGGAAAACAAGCGAGAGCTAACTAAGGGTCTATTTAGTCTGTTTGAATGTGCAATCAATCTCCAGACAATCTAAACCTGAGATGACCCTCCTTAACTGAACACATCTGTTTGATACAAATCACAAAGATCACACCAGTGTTAAATATTGATATGCTTCATACACACAAAGCAAACAGCAAAATACTAATTTAATATATTCTCTACTCCTCCTCCTTCAAGAAATTATACCTGATATTTAAATCCAGGAAAAAGGAAATTACTTTGATACTCCAACTATATGTTATCATACGTGTTACTATAGATGCATAAAAGACAACAGACAGACTCAGTTAAGGTAAAGATTGACCTTTTTTAGGGAAAAAAACACTGCCCTAGGGCTTGCCTACCTCCTGTGAACTGCTTTTCATTAGGAAACTTTAGTTTCAGAACATCCTGTGTGGTTACTTCGGTCTCTGAGTTTGTAAGGCCTTCCCTGAGCTTGTCGGGCTCAGTAGGTGGCTCCTTCTTCATCCATTGTGTGTGTGTGTGTGTGTGTGTGTGTGCCATGGAAGGCCAGCTGAAGGCAAAATTATAGGGAGACTCCAAAGTACGATCATTGGTCTCAGTGAGTGCGATTGATAGGTCCCCACCCATAGGCTTCTAAAGACCCCTCCACATCACTTCACCAGAAAAGCAGAGTTTTATTCCAACCCTCAGAAGGCTCCAATGCCAGATTTCAACTTCAAGAACAACAGACGCCAGCGCTCCACACTGTGAGCTTCTGAACCTCAGCTGAGAGAGGAGAAAGGTGTGAAAAGACATGACAGAATGAAGTCATGATATTATACTGTGCTTAATGTTTAATATTTAAAGAGATTACTTATTAATATTTAGAAGTGTCTAGAAAAGCCATAGGGGGTATGTTACTTTCCAAAGACAGTCTTTTGGTAGAAAAATAAGGTTCTCTTATGAAGTTTCCTCTTTTACATCCAATTAATTCAATATGCTGGTATACAGCATACATACATTATGCACCTGAGCCCACATTAAAGAAGTATGTGTTGTCATAGTTCAATAGCTGCTTGATACCATGCTTCATGGACATGCTATTACTTGACTTCACTAATGTCCACAAGAGTCATGTCATGTTGTTCTAATGTCACCACTGAAAACTGGAACACACACCTATGCTCACGCTGACACATCATGGGTGAGAATGGGAGAGCGTCTGTCCCCACAAGCCCTTAGGAGTGCGGAGCACACTTGGTTATCCCCGAAAAATTAATCGGATAAAACCTTGCCAATCCAGTATGTTAAAATATTTGTTCAATTTCTTTGTTGTAATTTTAATGCCTTTTATCATCACTAACTTTAAGTTACAGTATATTAAAGGATAATATGTAGAATAATTGCGTATATTGACCTCTTATATTCCTTATATAGGAATTTGTAAGTTCTTTTGTGCTTTATTTTATTTTATTTTTTAGGTTCATTTGTGTTTAAATAAATGGGTCTCATGATTCATTTATGGTATAAATACCCCAGTTTATCATTTGTTGTTAAGTTTGTCTTTCAGGTGATTTTATATGATGCCACATCTGTTACCTCAATGGTTGTACTTTTGGTAGAAGGCTCTTTTTGCATAGAAAGTCCTTCTCCAGTCTAAGCTTACAAAAATAAGTTTTGAATTATTTTTTGTGTTCATATATTTAATTTGAAACGCATATTGTGCCTCTTGACCTATGACTACTGTTATATTTCTTTTCCAATGAATAGTCAACTATTTCACTCATTTAATGAAAAATATAGTCTCTTTTTCTTACTTAAAAAAAAAAAAAGAAAAAGCTCAGTTACCAGCTGTATTGATGGCTCTGTTCTCTTCTGAGTTGCTGTCTTTCCTATATTTGGTATTTTATTTTTATTTTCTATTTAGGTTATATTTTATTTTTTAAAAAATCAGTAATCTAGAGGGGAGGGATAAATATAACCTTAGATTTTTGTGGAGCTATGCGGTTAGGCTCTGAAAATTAACATTGAATTATAGAGTGTATTCACCTACCACATTATGTGACAATGTAGTCGAGAAAACTGATGTGCGAACAAACCTGGCTTGGCTGACGAACACATAGAATATCACCAATAGGAATACAGTGTTCATACATACCTGGCCGGGGAGCTACCATGGTCACGAAGGCAGTTTCCCAAGGCAAGGCTCATCCACTGCGCTCTGGGTGTGCTGACACCCGGGAGTTTCCCGAACGTGGAATCTTGGCTGCATGACTTGTGGTCGCAGACGACTGCATTCGCGCTCTCCCCAGGGGGGAAAAGAAAAAGAAATACAGTATTCAGAAATACATAGAATGTTGCTCTTTTAACTATATGTAGTTTATACCCAAACTGAAATTTATATTTACAGTGAGTTCTGCAATTCATGAGGCTCACTATTTAGGTCTTTAGACAAGTTGAAACTGCCCAATGGTAAGAAAACTGGACAATATGTCCTACGGCAATTATGAAAAATCAGCTGAGATTTGTGGTTTGTATGGGTGGTGAGAAAAATTTCACATGCGATGGGAAAACACTTACATTTGCTCTGTGTGAATTGCTTTGGTCCATTGTGCGCCGGAAGAAAAGTCGGTGCAAAGAGTTGTTGCCTTTCCTTAGCTCTCTTGTGGCTGCCAGGAGATTGACTTTATACTCTGCTGAGTGTCAGGGAGATAGAAAGTAAGAAACCTAAACTCCTTGTATTAGAGCACTTATTTACATATTTACTTTAGATTGAAGTGATAGTTTATAATACTAGTAACTGAGCTGGACCATGGACTCAAGGTTGATAACTTGCTTTGTTTTTACTTTCTTTTGCTTTCTTTTTTTTTTCTGAAATTAGATATTACATTTCTAAATTTGGTTCCAGCAGAACTCAGTCAGGTGCCAAATGAACCTAGCTTCTCTGTATTTTCTTTGCATGGCTCAGTCTGTGGGTGTGTGTGAAGGGTCAGATTTAGAAGTTCATTATTGGCCAGAAATACTTAAAACTTCAAGACTGGATGGTTGTTTGGAGATGTATCTGCACTCTTGGATTAGTCACAAATCCAGGAAGAATCAAGGAAACTAGAGTGGCAGTGGTAGGAAGCCAAATATTCCCTCTCTTGTTTGTCCAGTATCACAGCAGAGAATGCGGTAGAAATGCACGGGGGAAAGTGACAGATGCGGCAACCACAGTTAGACTGAAGGCACTGAGTCTTCCTCCCCTTACTTGGAAAGTCGTCTTGCATGTTCCTCTATTATTTGGGGTCCACAGGCCATTGTCTGTGTAACAGAACCCAGCATGTTTCAGTAAAGCCATTTTTTTTCCTTTGATATCGTATAAATGATAACTTGAAATTTTTGTGACTAACACATGGCTCCTGACAAAGCCAGGACTAGTGGGTAGAAATTATAAAAAAGAAGAAATTCTAACAATTATATTTGTCTTTGCAGAGTAAGGATACTCCCATTGTCTCTCCAGGGTCTTTTACTACAGGGTTTACATTTCTAGAAAAGCCAAACTGTAAATATCATTGAGAAAGATAACACTTAAATTAAGGATCCATTCAGTGAGTGATTGATATCAGGTAATTTCTAAAACCAGGATTTGATTGTGTGTCTTTTCATTGTTTAAGTTCAAAAATTGAAGAGTACTTATGGAGAAGCAAAATATACAAGGTCTGTCCAGAATGTATCCAGCCATGTACTATGAAAAATAGAGGCATTTATTGAATAAGATACAAGATATAAGAAACATTGTGCACAGGACAATGACTCTTCAAAGTAGGCACCTTGGCATCTCACATGGTTCTCGCAATTGCCATAAACTGTCTCATCATATTATCCTGAACCTCACTGATGCTCTGAAATGCGCCCCCTTTCAAAGGTGATTTTAGTTTTCGGAAAAGCCAGAGGTCACAGGGCACTACATCTGGGCTGTAGCAGGACTAGGTTTTCTGGGTGATTAGACGTTTTACAAAAAAACTCTGCAGGAGGTGTGATGCATGAGCTGATGCATTGTCGTGATGAAGCTGCCAATCACCAGTTGCTGAGAGGTGTGGTCTTCTGAATCATCTGAATAGTTTCCATGGAGGAATGTTCAAGTTTAACACAAAATTTGATGCAGATTTGTTGCTCTACTAGTTCAGTCATTTAGAATGCAATGGCCATGTGGTGCACATGCTCACTCAACGGCATGTACCGCCCCTGCTGACGAGTACAGTGAAGTTGTCATTGTTCACACATGTGCATTGCAGTCCCCTCTCCTTGGCTGCCAGGCTCCATCATGTCATGCAAACCATTCTCGTTATATTAAAAATGGCTGGATTATTTTGGACAGACCTCATATTGTGAGAAGAGAAACTATGCAGTTCTGTACAAATTTTTACTTAGTGTGGGACAAACCAAGTTAAAACTTTTAATTAAGCATATTAATGTTTTAGGTCTCTCTCCTTATATAGCAACTTTGACTCAGTTTTTCTTATGCGATGCCCCAGGGGAAACTTCTCAAAATAGAACCATGTATTTACAAAGCAACGGTAAATGATTCTTGGCAATGAAAATGCTAACCATCAATTCCCATCTGCAAATCAAGATATATTGATAACATATTTGAAAACCCAGATAGATAAAGTATCCAATATATTTTGATGATGCCAAAATAAATACAAAGAAGTAAATCTTATACCCATAGAAATTAATTATATAGAAAGGAGAACTTTCTCAGGTTGTGCATCAAATATATGGTTGTGTCTGCTTTACTTTGTACAATATTATGTCATAAATGGAAAGTGATAGCTATGTAAAAATGTCAAAGATATTGGTGAAATTTATTTGCTAGTTTATGTTTCATACGCGACTGTTCTTCATTCGTTGGGCAGTTGATGACAGCTCTAATTTTCCCGAATTGCTCTTTTGAGACACGCACCGGAGCCTGATCTTCACTTCAGATCCTGTTGCCCCTTCACATTTCCTCTGCCCTCCATCTGCACACCCTCCCCAAGAAATGATCTACTTCCGTGTTGTTCTAAATGACTTTAAACTTTCAATTTCCATTTATTGTTAATCTATAGAAATATAATTGATTTTTGCATATTTATCTTGTGTTCTGCTACCTTGTCTAACTCATTTATTACTACCAGTACTTTTTGTAAGATATATATTTTTTTTTTATTTTTCTACATAGACCAAGAATCAGCAGCCTTTGACATGACAGGGACATATAAGAAATGTCAGACTTTGCAGGTCATGGGGTCATTGCCACAGCTGCTCAGTCCTTCCCTCAGAGTGTGAAAGCAGTCAGAGACGATCTACAAACGACTGAGTGTAGTCGTGCTGGTGTTAAGCCACGCACGTGCTCCTGGGACAACCCTGCGTTGTCATGAAGTGTGATCATATTTAGGCATTGCTGGAATTCACTCGTTCAGCTCTTGTTTAGCATCCTGCTTTTGTGTCAATGTTCATGAGGACTATTAGCCAATACTTCTATTTCCTTCTAACATCTTTGTCTAGTGTTAGTATCTGAGCAATGTCAGCTTCACAGAATGAGTTAGAATTATATGCCCTCTCTTTATTTTTTTAGAAGAATTTTATAGAATTTTTGATATCTCCTTGAGATGTTTGGTAGATTTCACCAATGAAGATATCTGAGCTTTAAGTGCTCTTGTGAAAGATTTTTACCTATAAATTCAACATCTTTAATAGCTATAGTGCTATTCAGAATACGTATTTCTTCTTTAACAAACTTTGGCAACTTGCGTCTTTTAAGGAATGGCCATTTCAGTCATATTTTCAAATTTATTGAGATTTAATTAATGGCCTAAATATACATTTCATCTGGTAAATATTCCATGTGAACTTACAATGGAGGGGTATCTGCTGATGTCACACACACTCCTTCAGAAACGTCAGTTAGGCCAAGTTGCTTGCTAGTGTCAGTGAAGTAGGCGTTCTGTATTCTCACTGACCTTCTGAACACTTTTACTACTACAGACAAGGGTTATTAGTGTCTCAAACCATAAATACTAATTCGTCTACTTCTTTTGCATTATAATATTTTGAGGCTCATTATTAAGTAAATATTTAGATTTTTTTAAGTCTTAAACTTTTTATTATTCTAAAATGGTCTTCTTTGTCTTCGGCAATATTTTATTTTAATGATCTGAAAACACCTTTTTGCACAAATGACATTCAGATTCTGAAAATATAGTTGTAACAGTATAATCATATAAAAATAAGACATTCACAAAACACACCAACTGAAGAAGAAAATTTTTTAAAAATTAAAATAGAAACTTTTTTTCCTTTTCCCTATTGCCACATAATGCTAGTGATTTTTTTAAAACTAGGAGATTCAGCCACTCAGTCCTCAGGCTGAGGATGCTGAACAGGAAAGACACATGCAATGGCCTTGGCAATGCAAGTTCTGTTAGGAGAGCAGGATGTACCCCTCATAAACGAGGAGCATGATGGAGGAAGCCCTTGTTACCTTCAAGTAACGACAATGGCACAGCAATGGGCTTTTGGGAAACTTCTCAACTAGAAACAGAAGCAAATGGAACCAAAATGACAGAAATAAAATGTGTACAATACCTCATAGACTAGTACAGTTTACAATTAAATTCACAAAACTCTGAATGTACTACAGGGAAAGGAACCTGTCATTCTTGGTAAATCTCCTCCTTCCAGTCAAAGTTCTTTGGTAATCTTTGTTTTGGAAACTGTTTCTTTTATTTTAAGCAGTTTTTGTTTGTTTGTTTGTTTGTTTGTAAGCAGCGCATAGTTTGCCTTTGCTTTTGTATCAAATCTAACAATCTCCACCTTTTAATTAATGATGCATTTAAGGAGTTTATTGTTTTGATTAAGTTCAAATGTATTATCTTATTATATATGCTTCATTTGCTTCATCTCTTTTTTTTGTTCCCCCTTCTGCATTCTTTTGGATTAATTGAATATTATTTTATTTTTCCTTTTATCTCTTTCATTAGCTCTAACTCTATATTTCAGTCCTTGCTGTATGGTTTATAGTATACACATTTAAGTTAGTCTACCATCAAGTGATAGTACACTTCATCCATGTTATGAGTATCTTAAAATACTATACTTTCATTTCTCCCATCCACACTCTATGCTATTATTGCCTTATATGATATTTTTACATGTTATTCATTCCAAATTTCATGGTTATTACATTTAGACAGAGTCAATATAAATAAGAAAAAAATTCTTACATGTAATTTCCATTTCTGATGCTCTTCATTGTCTTGCATCGATGGGAATCCCCATCTGGTAT